TTCATGATCGGGATTATATGGCCTAATAGCCCATCCTGGTTCTGTCACCAGAATCTTGCGAATCATGCGCCTCTTCGCGATGCTGTCCCTAAACCCTAAACCCTGAACCCTCATCCCTAAATTCTAAACGTCGGTGGTCATCCTCACGTCCACTCAGTTGCCCTGAGGTGCCTCGTGCGGGCCTTAATTTGGGAACCCTTGTGGATCCTTTATATACCTAAAAAAAACCAAGGGCCCAGACTCTTTAAGGAAGGTAAGGGACCATATTAATATGTTAAGGGACCATGCAATTACCTTTAGAAACCCCGCACCCTTGGGGTTTATAGAGTTTAGGGCCTGTTTAGGTAAGGCGTCAACCCTGAACCCAAACTCGCAAGGAAGGCGAAACGGCGAAACAGTGGCTCTCAGGCACTTGCCACGACCGTTGCCAGCGACGGCGTCTCAATCTGCGATTTCGGGTTTAGGGTTTAGGGTTATCTAGAGGAGGCCATAAACCTAGGGCTTAGGGCTTTCAGCTCACCATGTACCTGTTGCATATGCGTTGGGCGAGTACCTGACAGCATCTGGGCAGGTCAACAACCTCTTTTCATATACACAGGGCTCTCTAAATCCCAAACCCTAAGCCCTGCCTGATCTGTCCCCATTGGGCCCGCATCCCAAAACCCGAAGCCCTTCACGCAGCCGGGGGTTAGGAAACCTGCAAGCCGTACTTTGGGGTTTTGGGTTGAGGGTTCAGTACCTGGTTTAGGGTATTTAAGGGTTTAGGGTTTAGGGCTTCGGGTTGAGGGTTCAGTACCTAAACCCTAAACCTGGGGTCATTTTCGGGGTTGATTCATCTAGCTCATGGCCTGCAAAGGGCTCTGGGTTGACATATGAGGGTTTAACCCTAGACCCACAAAACCCCCAACCCCAAACCCAACCCTTAACCCCAAACCCCAATGGAACCCGACAAGCTACCGCAAAAACCGTGAACCCTAAACCTTAAGTTCTGAAGCGAAGCCAAACTAACCCGAACCCACCCAAACCCAAACCCTACATCCAATTCACGAACTCCACAAGTCAAGCCTAGAGCAACTCAGAAAGCCCATCATATGCAAACAGGGACAAAACAGCTTCGACTGTGTTGTTGTTGTTCTTTTTTTTTTTTTTTTTTGGGGGGGGGGGGGGGAGGGGGCGGGGCCACACTAAAGAGGGTGCAACATTCATGACTTTTCAGGTTAGAGGGTTCGATTAAGGCTTTAAGGCTTCAGGGTTTGGGGCTTAAGGGCTTGGGCTTTGCCTTGGGTTCAGTGCAGATTTGGGCTGATCTTCTCAACGCCCCGAATTGGAGGTCTTATGCGGGCGTAGGGCTTGGCCTCCCCGATGCTTTTGAAGATCTGAGCCTGACGGCGTAAAGCACTGAGACACTAAAACCCTAAACTCTACACCTAAACCCTAAACCCTTGACCCTAAACCCTAGACCCTAATTACACCCTAAACCCTACCCTAAACTGCACAGTCTTCTTTTTCGGAACAGCTGTGGGCGTGTAAAGTGTTGGTACCTCGCATTTCGGTTCTTTGGATTTAGGGAAAGAGCATTAAACGCCAAGACCTGCCATGCCCTACCTACATATCCTTAAAGAGAATCTACACAGGGTTACTTCACCCAAAGCCCGAGAACGTTATGCAACCCTGAAGGCCCAAAAGCCCTAAACTCCAAACACCCTAGAACTTCGAACGCCGAAACCCTCGACTGACTTGTCCAGTTTTCTTGAAGGGCGGGGGGGGGAAGGGTTAGGTTTGGGGTTTTGGGTTTGGGGGTTTGGGGGTTTGGGGGTTTGGGGGTTTGGGGTCTGGGGTCTGGGGTTTTGGGTTTGGGGGTTTGGGGGTTTGGGGGTTTGGGGGTTTGGGGGTTTGGGGGTTTGGGGGTTTGGGGTCTGGGGTCTGGGGTCTGGGGTCCGGGGTTTGGTGGATTCTAGGGTTTAGGGTTTACGGAGGTTCGAAAAATTAGGGTACTTTTTGTTGGAGTCAGGGGGGGCGGGGGTGGTTGTGCCCCGAAAAACCCTAGCCAAGAGCAAGAGTGGGAGTCTACTGGCTCTTAGTAGGAACCAGGGAATGAGGTGCCCTATCTATACATATGCAAACATATAGGTGGGGCATATAAAGGTACCCGTTTCCCTCGTTCCCTACTGGGAACCAGCAAGCAAAGCCTCAACCCTAAACCCTAAACCCTAAACCCTAAAACCTATCCAAGCCAAAGGGGGCCTTGATATCCTGAACTTCGAAGACATCTTGCATGTCCTGGGTCAGGTTCTTCCTCAGCTGCACAGGGTGTTCATGGTGTTCAGGGGCTCCTTAAGGCTTTTGGGGGGTTTAGGGTTTAGGGTTGGAGGGTTGGAGGGTTGGAGGGTTGGAGGGTTGGAGGGTTGGAGGGTTGGAGGGTTGGAGGGTTGGAGGGTTGAGGGTTTAATTAGGGTTTAGGGTTGGGGGCTTTTGGGAAAAATCTTCATGCCGGGGCAGCGACACCTCATCGACAGCTGCGCGGGCGATCATCTCCTGACCACGTTTGAGGATCTGCCAAGTGCTCTCTGCGTGCACATGAAACCCTAAACCCTAAACCCTAAACCTGAAGCCCCAAACCCCAAACCCTAAACCCTAAACCCTAAACCCTAAACCCTAAACCCTAAACCCTAAACCCTGAACCCCACATCCCAAACCCTGGCAGCCAGCGCCTGCGCCTTCTTCGTGCGCTTGTCGATGGTGTCGTAGATTCGCTGCGACCTGAGGAATCTCATTTATCTTAGTTGTCCAGTAACCTGGGGGAACTAAAGGTTAACCTTTGGGATTATGAGGGGGTTATATTACCCCAAGAAGGTTAAAGGTTAAATACTCTACTACTAGGTTATACGGTTCTTACGGGAGGGGGGTTCATGAGGGGGTACCCTATAATTTGTCCACGGCTTTCGGAGGTTTAGGAGGCTGAGGTTGGTTGGATGGTTCAAAGACAGACTTAGGTGGTTCAGGAGGTAGGGTTTAGGGCCTAGGGCTTAAGGTTTATAGGGTCTAGGGTCTAGGGTTTAGGGGTGAAGGTATAAACCCTATGCCCGTCGCCAAGCCTTTTTCTCAGCGGGCGAGCATTTCTTCTTTCCTGACGCACGGCGGCACCGATGGGCAGGAAAAAACCTGAACCCATCCAACCCCAATTCTTCCGGAAGACCCCTAGGGTTTAGGGCGTAAGATTTCCCTAAACCCTCAACCCTCAACCCTAAACCCTACACCCCAGAACAAAAACTGGTACGCCTTCTTGCGCCCTAGTAGACTAAAAACCTGCGAGCACACCAGAAGCGAACAGGGTGACCCAAGACCTCCTCAATAGCAGCACACCCTATAACCCTAAACCCGAAACCCCTAAACCCCTAAACCCCTAAACTTTCCTTAACCCCTAAAACCCTAACCTCTTTGGGAAGATGGGAGCTGACGTGGTCTGGGGTTGGAGGGCCCAACATCTGTGTAATGTGGATATCTGGTAGCGCGGAGGATGAGCTTCTCTTCAAACCCTCGGTTTAGGGTTTAGGGTTTAGGGTTCATGCAACAATCGCATGATAACACGGTGTAGAATTGGAGTCTCGGGGTGAGATAACCCTGTAGATACCTAAAAGTAATCAAGGCAAAAGATACTTCTGGGATGCCCAGTACACAGAGAATGAAAGAAAGGCTGCCTTGTTGGTTGGAAGGGCCTATCCTGAAAAACAGGGAAATTGGGATTTAGGGTTCAACTGTGATGGGTTTCAGAGTTTGCAACACGTTGGCGCGCAGTAAGAACCTACAAAGGAGTGGGTGTGGGATTCTTAAGGCAGGATATGAGGACTAGGTGGGGGCTGGCATCTGCGCCGAGATGTGCTGTTTCGCACATAACCCAGAGGGTCCTTTGCGGGTCGCGAAACAGTTCCTGGATTCTGATTCCATAGTAGCCCGGGAAGCTTCAACCCTAAACTCGAGACCCAAACGCCGGGAACCCCCTAAGCAAATGTACCATCTGTAAATGGCGGCGAAGGACCTGCCTCTCACTGCTTCGGTGCGAAGATCCCGCCGCCAGTCTACTTCAGTCCCTAAACCCTAAACCCTAAACCCTAGACCCTAAACCCTAAACCCTAAACCCCAAACCCCAAACCCCAAACCCTATTCGCCGGGGCGCGATGGAAGCCACCTGCACGAGCGGCAGGGCTCTTGCACAAAGAGAATCGGCGGAAACCCGAAGGGTTGTTTCTTATGGGCCGTTTTAGTACGCGAAACTACTATTTGCTTAAGAACCCCCCCCCCCCCAAACAAAAAAAAAAAACAACAAAAAAATGTTCTTCCTTACGAGTAATGGAGGCTCATGTTCCGCTCTGTGATGTGCTTTTTTGTTTTGACTGAAAGGGGGGAGGGGGGGGGGAGGGGGGGGGGGGAGGGGGGGGGGAGGGGGGGGAGGGGGAGGGTGGGGGGGGGGGAGGGGGGGTGGGGGGGGGGGGGGCGGGGGGGGTGAGGCTTTCGATGGGGCAACATAGACACTAGTTGAAAGAAACCGGTCTCTGCTTGAACTCAAACGAGGACAGCAGCAACTTACCAATTCAGGGGCCTGCCTATGTAGAGGGGCGTTATGGGTAGCTTATGGGTGTAAACCCTAAACACTAAACCCTAGAACATGGGCACCGTAGTTATTGAAGCTTCCCGTGTTAAGTATTTCACACTCTTTCACCCTCAAGCCCTGATACCCCAGGTGATCTCCTGCTTGGTTTAGGGTTTAGGGTTTAGGGTTTAGGGTTTAGGGTTTAGGGTTTAGGGTTTAGGGTTTAGGGTTTAGGGTTTAGGGCTTTTTCTGAGCTTGCAGCAGGACCACCTGATGCCGAGAACAGCATCCGTCTGCCGACATTGCAGCAGACGCTGGGGAGTCGCAGAGTCACGCAGCATGCCCGAAGCGGTTTAGGGTTTAGGATTTAGGGTTTAGGGTTTAGGGCTTAGGGTTTAGGGTCATGGCAGCCTCAGGAGCTCTGGTCAGCATCTTCTGAACTGAGCAAGTTAAAGGCATAGCCGAAACCTCCGGAACCGCGCTCGGCCACGAGGTGTTCCAACAAACCTGAACCATTATTGGGGGTACTATTCAAAATCATCGTTGTTAGTTCCTTATTGGGTTTAAGTATTCAAAAAGATGTAAAATGATTTTCAACAATGACCCAGAAGCAGCTTACACTACAGGCCAGGAGTGGGAGGCAGACAAAGCCCAGCAGCAGCGTCATCACCATCAGACGCACCAGGTCAGAGATGCCCACTCCACAGACCTTTAGGGTTTAGGGTATAGGGTTTTGGGTTTAGAGTTTCATGGTTAGGATACTCTGAAATGTAAAGTTATTTCTATTCCTTATAGGGTTTAAGTACCCTTAAAGATGCAAAATGGTACCCAACCATGACAAAGAGACAAGATGATGGATGCGGGTCCATTCCAGCGTTAGATGCGACGGCTCCGCAAACTCCACAGCAGTGTCCAGCTCGGATATCATTGCCTGCAGGTTCTGCGACACATTTGCGGCATCCCAGGCAGGGCAACTTCTCTGTATAGCCACGCCGTACGTTGTCACCTTAGTAGCCCAGTAACCATGCTACAGTAAAGGTGCCCTCTTCTTGGTTGGTGGCTTTATAAGGGCACCCGAAACCAAGAAAGGATACAGGGTACCACTGGGCTACCAAGTTACCCATTCGTCCCAAGAAGAGAGCTGTGCCTGCAGGACATGGAGGTTCTCAACGGCACCATTCGGGGTCGCATTGTGTATGTACTGCACCGTTAGATTCGACGTGGCCGAACTGCCAAGTACGGCGTTCACGTAGTTCAGCATTGTCGTTTCCGGTCTCCTGCACAGCGTGCTTGAGAACACTGCTAGGAGCAGTTCGGCGGCACCACCTTACTGTCGGTTAGTAGGGAATGAGGTACCCTGTATGATCCCTTAAAGGGTATATATAGGGGGATATAGGGTACCTCATGCCCTCATTCCCTACTAACGAACAGTAAGCCACAGCCGGCCACGAGGATGAGTACGGGAACAAGCACTGAGGAGGCCAAGCAGGGAAGCTGGAAGCAACTGCACCGCTTGGCCAATGTGGGGCCGGAAGAGCATGGAGAGCTTGGCTCATGGAGGAACACCTTGTTTAGGTTTGGGGTTTAGGGTTTAGGGTTTAGGGTTTAGGGTTTAGGGTTTAGGGTGTCATCTACCCTCTACTACTCTAATGACCCCTATCAAGGTTCTACTCATCCCTACCAAGGTGTGTGGAACGTACGCCCATTTAAGGGCTTTCATGTCGTTCCCCGAGGCACCAGCATGGCCAGGGCCACGAAGCAGACGGCAATTGCCAGCAAAGGGAGGACCTGGCACCAGGTCAGTGACGTGACGAGCGAGCGGCTTCGATCCGCGAGGGCCAGAAGCCTTGGTTGCTGAGTTCACAAGCCCCCGTCTAGGGTTTAGGGTTTAGGGTTTAGGGTTTAGGGTTTGGGGTTTGGGGTTTAGGGCTTAGGGTTTAGGGTTTAGGGGTTTCCCAAAATGTAAAGTGTACTCACTCAGCTACCAAGAAGCAGGCCGGGCAGATGTTCCAGCATGCCGTGGAGTCCCGCCAAGGCGGCCCTTGCCTTCTTTAGCTCCCCCTTCATCTCCTAGACCATGGCTGGGACGGTATTAAAGATTTAAATGTATATTCCTTATCGAGTTTAGGTACCCTTAAAAAAATGTAAAACATTACCCCAGTACATACAAAGCCGAGTCTCGGTGATGGAGGACCCCAGGAACTCGTGCGTGGTACTCGGGCACTCTGAGTAGAGGCGGTCCAGGTTGTGATCAAACGACCGCGTGGAGACGTTCCTTACTGTTGGTTACTACGGAATGATGAAAATGAAGTATAGAATCCCTTCAAGGGTGTATGTACGGGGCATATAGGCTACCCCATTCCCTCGTTCCCTACTAACCAACAGTAAGGTTCATGGCCACGACCATGTCCGCAACTTTCCATGCTTCAGACGTCAGCTCAGACAGCAGCAGGTGGCCTTGAGCGAAGCCTAGGATGGCTCTTTAAAACCCTCTGAACAAATATCTCCTCATATGTGGTCCTCCTGAACCCACTAACGGCTTTTAGGGTTTAGGGTTTAGGGTTTAGAGTTTAGGGTGTAGGGTTTATAGGGTTTAGGGTTTAGCATGCTCCCAAGGGCCTACCTAGTAGCTCTGGAACCGGCAGAGGAGGCTCAATCCCAAGATGATGCCGACCAAGTTCGTGACGAAAAGAGCCCCGAGCTGGGTCCACAAGTATCGTGACTTCCTGGAGCTGTCAACGACCTTCAGGTGCACCTGCCAGGGACATCCTTAGGGTTTAGGGTTTATAAGGTTCAACCCTAAACCCCAAACCCCCAAAACCACCCACCCCCACCCCGCCATTTCCTGGGAAAAAAGCCCACTTCTTCCATCTCTTATGCACCTAAACCTAAACCCCAAACCCTCAACCCTAAACCCTCAACCCTCAACCCTAAACCCTCAACCCTAAACCCTAAACCCTAAGCCCTACACCCTAAACCCTAACCTGAGGGCCTTGACCAGGAGCAGCCCCAGCAGCAGGGCCGTGACAAGTCCAACGAGGAAGACGAGCCCTTATAGCTCAGGAAACATATGACGTAGGGTTTAGGGTTTAGGGTTTAGGGTTCAGGGTTCAGGGTTTAGGGTTTAGGGTTTAGGGTTTCTTGTATCCCCAACAAGGACACCCAATGTATGCACTCACCAACTTCAACAAGGAACCTTATATACACTCACCAATGACAGTCATATAAGCTCTGCTTCTTATGCGGGTTTCCAAAAATAAGGGTCCTTGTGAAAAGGAATCCTACTACTGCGTTTGGAGGATTCCCCGTTTGTAAGGGAACCTAGAACCCGAAAAAACGCGATGTAAGAGGGCACCACTGGAGCCCCCAAACCCTAAACCCAAAGCCTACACCCTAAACCCTGAACCCTGAACCCTAAACCCTAAACCCTAAACCCTAAACCCTAAACCCTACCAAGAGTCCCGGAAGTCGCAGGTTCGGCGCCCAGAGGGCGCCCCAGGAGTCCGAGGCATCCCCGGAGAACTCGGGAGCAGCCCCCCATTCGGCCAGGAAGCCCCGCACCGACATGGCGTTTAGGGTTTAGGGTTTAGGGTTTAGGGTTTAGGGTTTAGGGTTTAGGGTTTAGGGTTTAGGGTTTAGGGTTTAGGGTTTAGGGTTTAGGGTTTAGGGTTTAGGGATGGGGCACCGCAAATGCGACAAACTCACATCATCAAATTTGTTGCTTGTCCAGAGCCTTAGGACACGTAGATGAATTGCATGTCGCTGCTTGGTCACGTAGAATATGGGGGCCTGATTAATTAGAACAGGGTTTTGGGGGGTTGTGCTTAAGGGGCCATAAGGGAATACTATTTATAATTATTCCGACCCCTACATTAGGCCAATATGTTCGCCGCCCTTCAGATGCAGTTATGGTCTTCTCAAAGGGCAGGCACATCAGTTTAAAGGGGCACTTCACTTGTGGAATGCCCTTGATGCTCATTGATGCTCAACAGCCGAGCTTTGAAAAAACAACAACTTGCCCTAAGCACGGTCACGCTCTCCACTGCCAAGCCCGTGAATCATGAAATGGACGTTTAGGGTTGTGGATTTATTTGGGGTTGCTTTAGAAGGGAACTCAGAACCCTAATCCCTAAACCCTAAAACTTAAAAACTAACATTGAAGCCATTGAGATGGTCTTCCATGTCCGCCCTTGCAATACAAGAAGATTCCCAGACACTCAGCCTACTGGGGCCTCATCCCCGGGCATACATCAAACCGAACCTATTGAAAACCACCCCAACGTAAACCCTGAGCCCTATAAATAGGACCCTAAATCCTTGGCAGCCAAGAAAGGAAACCGCTGGCAATAAGGGTGCCCTTTTTGGTGTTGGTTGCCTGTATCAAGCAGCCCAGAACTCACAAAAGAAAGGGTGCCACTGGGCCACCAAGAATACATATATATATATATGTATGTATATATATATATATGCAGATAGATATATACGCATACCTTCTACCCTCAAAACCTGAACCCTCAATGCATGAAAACATAGACACCTGTATGTATGTATGTATGTATGTATGTATGTATGTCTGTCTATATATATATATATACACACACACTTTTCCAGATATCCCTCACACAACCTCGCCTAAACCCTGTATACTCAACCAACCCGCCTCGGATTCGCATACAGCAACGCCAGCATGGCTCAGGCTGAATAGGTGCAGCAGGGCGTTTGAGGGGTTAGGGTTGGGATGTTCCCCCTTATACAAACAGCCCCTAATAGGGATGACAACAGGGGGTACTGTAATCCTACTGTAATTAAGGACGGCTATAAGGGGGGAACATCCCAAGCTTGGGGGTTAAAGGGTCTTACTTAGGGAACCAGCATACTGTTCAACCACACTGAGAAGAGCCGACCGAGCAACCGTTGGAAAACTCTCCAACTTGTGGGCTTTGTGGTACCGAGATACGAGGGGCCGCGGTGTACTGGGTAACCCCCGAACAGGGACCCTAGCTTACAGAGGATCGGGTTTAGGGTTTAGGGTTTAGGGTTTAGGGTTTGGGGTTTGGGGTTTAGGGCTTTTAGGGTTTAGGGTTTAGGGTATTTAGGGTATTTAGGGTATTTAGGGTATTTAGGGTATTTAGGGTTTAGGGCTTAGGGCTTAGGGTTTAGGGTGTAGGGTCTCGAAGCTGAGCACTGCGAAGGCAGCACTTGGCTTGAGTCTACGAGGCTTAGCAGTCAAGGCATGGCCTATCGTCCTCTACAAGTCAGGGTTTAGGGTTTAGGGTTTAGGGTTTAGGGTTTAGGGTTTAGGGTTTAGGGTTTAGGGTTTAGGGTTTAGGGTTTAGGGTTTAGGGTTTAGGGTTTAGGGTTTAGGGTTTAGGGTTTAGGGTTTAGGGTTTAGGGTTTAGGGTACTTGGAGGTTTAGGTACTTAGTGACCCTTTGGGAGTGTAGTTATCACCCGCTTATAAGCCCCTTAAGTACCCTAATCGAATTGGGTTATAAGTGCAGTGGTAATTGGGCTACTAAGTGCCCTGAACTTCCAAGTAGTTACATGGTCCCTTTGTATGGGCCCTTGAAACCCTAAACCCTAAACCCGCCCGCCACCCCACTCTCTTGTGTTTTGGGGTCGGCGGGCGCTGGTCGAGCGCTCAGTGAGACCCTGCGAGGGAGCCCCAGGCGGGCGACTGAGCTGGCCTCCAGGCTGGCTTACCCTCCAGGCAGGCACAGGCCGAGTCAGTATGATATGATATTACCCTAAACTCAAGCTGTCTGCGCACATTTGGGTCCTGCATTGGAGGTCCCTTGGGACGGCTGCTTGAGACCCCTGGTCCCTCACCCCCCCGTCCGCTGGCCCTGTCCGCCCTAGGTTTGGCCCTGGCCCCGCCCCGGCCCTGGCCCCGCCCCGGCCCTGGCCCTGGCCCTGGCTGACCTGGGTCTGGCCCTGCCCCTGGCCCTGGCCCTGGCCCTGGCCTGGCCCGGCTCGCCCTGGTTCCATCAACCGAGCTTCCGTTTGCTGCAACTCTGTGCCTGGTCACGCACCTTGTGGAGGTCCCCAACCTGACCTGACCCTGGCCCGGTGCCCAACCCAAGCTGTTCACTGTGTGTTCTTCCATGGCTTGAGCCCCTTCGCACCAACCAAGCCTCACTCCTCGCTGCCTTTGTCTGTGCCTGCAGGGCCCATCCCCCCATAGCCCCTTCGCGCAAACCCAAGCTGTCTTCACGGACCCTGCCTCGTTTCCGTCTGCTGCAGCTTTGCGCCTGGTCCACGCACCTTGTGGAGGTCCCCAAAAAGGGCGTGAGTGCTGACTCATGTGATGCTTTGTTAAAAATAATAAAAGGTCTTATACAACTCCTTGAGAGTTGTGAGTGGGCGGTCTTGGGGTGGGTAGGTCTGCAGACTAACGCGCGCTCCCACAGCGCGCTTCCGTTTGGCACGCCCTAAACCCTAAACCCTAAACCCTAAACCCTAAACCCTAAACCCTAAACCCTAAACCCTAAACCCTAAACCCTTACATCTTAGGGTTGCTACGTGGTCCCTTACTAAGGGCCCTTAATTGGGGGGACCCCCCTTAACAACCCCTTATCTACCCCTTGCAACCCAAGGGCCCATGCTTCAGTAAGGGGAACTTATTAAGGGACTACGTAACTTCCCCTAAACCCTAAACCCTAAACCCTAAACCCTAAACCCTAAACCCTAAACCCTAAACCCCCATTGAGCGCAGCAGCATGAGTGCGGCTATGCCCCCAAAGCCTCCACATCTAAAGCCCCTAAAACCCCAAGAGCCGAAACCAGAACCCCCTCAAGCCCTAGATAGGGTTTGGGGTTTAGGGTTTACGGTTTAGGGTTTGGGGTTTGGGGTTTAGGGTTCGGGGTTTGGGGTTTGGGGTTTAGGGACGCGAACATTTTTGGGTGAAGGGTTTCGGTATGTCGTGCTCGGAGTTCAGTCAGAGTTTGGGGTTTGGGATCACCTGAACCCTGAAACCCCTAAACCCTAAACCCTAAACCCTGAGTGCTAAACCCTGAACCCCCTTAAAGGGGCACTAAGCGCCCCCTCGATCGGCTCTGGGCGCGCAGCTGCACCACCATAGGCATCATGTAGGCCTTAAGGGAGTAGGAGTGGGTTTAGGGTTTAGGGTTTAGGGTTTAGGGTTTAGGGTTTAGGGTTTACGGTTTAGGGTTTTATGAAACACGTCTTCGCAGTGGCTGAGGGCGTTTCCAAATCTCACGCCCTCGGCCCCAAAATATCCCGAGATGCTAGAGTCCTTAGCGCCTTGGGGATGTCCCCAAGCAACAGTCAAAGGGGTGAGAGACATACCCCTAAACCCCATAAACCCTGAATTGTTTAGGGGTAGTTTCAGGGCAAAAGCTGCTCAACATCAGCAGCCTTTGTGGCTTGGGGTTTAGGGTTTAGGGTTTCGGGTTTGGGGTTTCGGGTCTAGGGTTTATTTGGGGCTCAGGGTTTGGGGTTTAGGCTCTGGGGTTTGGGGTTTAGGTTTTGGGGTTTGGGCTTTGGGGTTTGGGGTTTGGGGTTTGGGGGTTTGGGGGTTTGGGGTTTGGGGTTCAGGGTTTAAGGTTTTGGGTTTAGGGTTTGGTGTTTAGGGTTTGGTGTTTAGGGTTTGGTGTTTAGGGTTTGGGGCTTGGGGTTTGGTGTTTGGGGTTTAGGTTTAGGGAACCCTGGCACTGGGACGGCTGCCACGGCTGTCGTCATGTTTCGCTGCATAGTTAGATCCGCAGCCTGCCAGCAGAGAGTGGTTAGCATGGCCTCTCCTCCTCTACAAGTCAGGGTTTAGGGTTTAGGGTTTAGGGTTTAGGGTTTAGGGTTTAGGGTTTAGGGCTTAGGGCTTAGGGTTGTTTGGAAAGTTCCAGTTTTTGGAGTGCACCCCCAACTTGCCTCGCAGAAAAAAAACGGCACACTCTCACAGCACCACAGCCCGCATCCTAGGAAGATTCGCAAGATCAAAGAAAAGCTTCAAGAGGTCCTCCAAACCTTCCTTCAAAGGCCCCTAAGTGGCCGTGACCAGTGAACATTTGGGTTTTGGCGATGACGCTCACAATCCTCAACGTCCGATCTTGCGCCCCTGACATGAAAGTTTAAACCTCGAACCCCAACCCCTATAACCACCGAAAATCTTGCAACCCCTATAACCCGAACCCCCATGTAACCCCTATACCCGCCTAAACGCCCCCGAACCCCCTAAACCCTAAACCCTAAACGCTAAACCCTAAACAACCCTAAACCCTAAACCCTAAACCCAAAGCGGCCTTGATGGCGTCCTGAGCCTTGGCCTTGACAGCCTCGGGATCCACGTCGCCCTGGATGCATGGAAAGGCTTAAGGGTTTTGGGGGTTTTAGGGTTTAGGGCTAGGGTTTAGATTTAGGGTTTAGGGTTTAGGGCTTACAGGGTTTACAGGGTTTAGGGTTTAGGGTTTATAGGGTTTAGGGTTTATAGGGTTTAGGGTTTTGGGTTTAGGGTTTAGGGGGTTGAGGGCTTAAGGTGAGGGCTTTCGGGCTTCGGGCTGGTTCTTAGTAGGGAATGAGGGAATAAGGTACCTATATACTCCCTTAAAGGGTATATTTAGGGCACTACTTGCCTCATGCCCTACTACGAAGCAGGGGGTGAAAGGCTTTTGGGTTTTTTGGCTTAGCTGCGGGGGTCATTTGCACAACCACTATACTGTTACTACAATACCCCCTTTAAACCCTAAACCCTAAACCCTAAACCCTAAACCCTTGTAGGTTTAGGCCACACCTCCCGAAGACCTGTCCATACTCTTCCCCCAACATTGCCCAAGAATCTTGAGAGTTGATTCCAAAGGGGACTCGAAGCACGAAGGGGCTTTTGAAGCCCTAAGCCCTAAGCCCTAAACCCTAAACCCTAACCCTAAACCCTAAACCCTAAGCCCTCAGCCCTAAGCCCTAAACCCTAAACCCTAAGTAGGAGAGGTCAGAACTGTTGAGGCGCGCTTCTTTGAGAGCTCAGGGTTT